TGAAAAACGGCTTTGAAAAGTTAAATGTACACAAATGTAACTCAAAGGGAAAAATGTGGGTGCCCAGGCCTGGCTGGGCAAGGGGCCAAGGGAGTCCAGAGGCCCCACATCCCAGATTTGAAAGCTATACTGGGGGCAGCAGGTCCTGGAGATGGACAGACCTCCCCAGTAGAAGAGGAATCTACTGGTGACAAGAATTCAAAGAGGGGCAAGCATGCCACACAAGAGTGTCCTAGCAGGGCTGGTCCCTGGCACTGTGCCCAGGCCCTCGCTGGCACTTGGTGGCCCAGGCACTGCCTGGTGATGAGATTATGGCCTGGCAGAACCAGGCAGAGAGCCCCAGTGTGGACTGGACACTACATTGAGGATTGCCACCATCAGGTCACCCACCCCGCTGCTGCCTGGAAGCAGCACAAGCACCTCTGCTGTGACCGGCAAAGACACATGGTTTTGCAATAGAACAGGAATGTTTAGAGCAGGCGCCAGCATTTCTGTCTCCTCCAGCCTTCAACAGAGATCCCATGAGCAGGAGTTGGGCAGAGGTAATCAGACTGCTGGGTTCAGCAGGACAGCCCCGAAGGCGGAGCTGGCTGGCACAGAGATACCCAGAGAACAAGAGAGTTAGAGTGTCTTCGGGAAGCCCACCTGGGTCTGGCTCGGGTGTGCCTCCCCATCCTATCTCTCTGCTCTGCCCCTTTTTGTCTTTTATGGGACTGGTGGGGTTCAGTTCATTCCCATCCAGCGTTCACTGTGACCCCCGTCTTGGTGGCCCCTCCAAATCCCCCACCTTCACCCCAGGCCCTACAGGCAGCCTGGGGTTCCCTGGCTGCAGCAGCTTCAGCTCTGGGGTCCTGGGCACCAGAGATTCACATTCCTCCAGCCACCCAATCCCTCCTGCTTCTCCAACTGCAGCTCAGCCCGGCACTGCAGAGCAAGGGCCCAGCCAGGAGGGCAAGGGCCTGGGCAAAATGGCCCAGAAAATACCTGGCTTACTTGGGGTCTTATGCTCTAAATCTTCTCCTCCTAGATGGCCCTCAGGCCAGCCAGCCTGGTGTGGCCATGCCATGAGCTCCTTCAGCTGCTGTGCACTCACCGGAGAGGGATCTTGACACGGAGGTAGCGGTCCACAGCGATCGCCAGCAGGGCCAGGATGGAGCTCTGCGTGAGGATGAGGACGGGACAGGCGACCATGAGGCAGGTGTGGAAGTAGGTCTGCGGCCCAATGTTGATGAGGATGGCGAGAGGGATGACCAGAGCGCCCACCGCCACATCAGCCACTGCCAGCGACACGATGAAGCAGAAGGTGGCGTCCCGCAGCGCCTGGTTCACCTTCACCGCCCAGATGACAAGCACATTCCCAGGCACAGAGACCAGAGCGATGAGCACCTCGATGCCAATGTAGGCGGCCTGGAAGGCCGAGATGGAGTGCGGCATGGTGGGCACAGGCTGGGCACATCAGCAGACGGGCACCGAGGGGCACGAGGCAGGCACCTGTGGTCACGGAAGCCTGCGGTGGGGAGGCCCGCCTGGGGGGTGGGGAGCGGAGCCCAGGCAGCCCTGGCACTCCCACTGCCCGTTGGAGACGTGCCTCGCTTGGCACATCCAGTGCCTGTCCAGACCCGCGGTGGGCGGGGGCGGTACCCAGGCCCTTTCTCTGCCTAATCTTTGTCCCTCCCCTTATCATCCCCCCGGAGGTTCCATTCGGCAACTTAAAATAGCAGCGCCCTCTCCTGCACTGGCTTTATCAGGTGTGAGGCAGCTCCCAGCACACACACAGCCATCAGGGGTCCCCCATGCCTGGCTCTGCCCACCCCTGCCCACAGAACAGGATGAGGGAAGCTCACCATCCTGCCTGCTGGCCGGCAGGGGGTCCCACAGGCAGTGCTCAAAGTTCCCGGTACCAGGTGCCACCCAGAGCTCCCGGGCCGCGGCGGCCAAGGCTGGGCTCTGGGCACCGGGCGGGCGGCCGCTCATCGTCCTCCAGGCTCCCGCCGCAGCGCTCTCAGCCCGGCCTTTCAAGCAATCACATGGTGCGGCAGAGGCTCAGCCCCGGACGCTTTTAAAGAGGTAGCACCCCCGTACCGCACCTGGGACTGAGGTGGCAGACGCGGGAGTGGGGGGCTGAGCCCCGCACCGGGCCGGCGCCCCGGCTCCCCACTCCGCAGCGTGCGCGCACACCTGCCTTAGCCCACCCATGAGACGCTGCCCTGGGCCCGCTCCAGCTCTGCCGGGGACCCTCGCCCACACCTGTCCCAAGGGCGCATTCCCGTCTCTTCTTTCGACCCTCTCCTGCGCCCCCAATGGGGAACCCCCGGGGCCAACTGAGGCACAGACTTACCCAAGGTCACCGAAGCTGGCAGCACTCCTGTCCCCCGGGGCTGTTCTGTCCAAGCGCCGCCGCTCTCTCCGGGGATGCCTCGAGAATCCAGGGCTGGGCTGTGGGGTCCAGGCGGGGGTGGCAGCTGGCTGGGACTCGACTCGGGCGCCGGCGCCTCTTCGCCCCCAGCGCGGGAGCCGAGTGACAGTCGGGCTCCGCACACCGGGAGGGGGCGGGGGCGGCGGCGGCACTCGCGGGCCCCTCCCTTCACCCTCCGTCTCCTTCCCCACCCCTCCTCTAAACAAAGGAAGTGATTCTGGGTGAGAAAAGCTGGGAAAACGTGAGCTCTTCGGAGAGTCTGGTGCGCGCATCCAGCCTGGGTACTGGACAGGGGTGCAGCCTCCCTGCGTCCACTCCCTCCCTTCTCAACGCGGGGTGCCCGGGAGCCCTGGCCTGGCCTCCAGCGACCCCTCCACCCCTCCCAGAGCAGCATCTCTCCTGCCAAGCTCCAAAATGCTCCCCTCTCTGACCTCCCACGCAGTCAATTGGTAGCCCTGGCACCCTCCCCCAATCCTAAAACCTGCCCTCTCCATGAAACCAGCCCTTGCATATTCTCAGGAACATTCTTCCAGCACACATTACAGGCTCTATCCTGAGTCATTATTCCTTTCTCATCCATCTTTCAGAACTGCCTTGTAGTGTGTTAGCAATTTCCATTTTGCAGATGAGGATACCGAGGCTCAGAGAAGTGACAGAGCTTCCCAAGATCATCTCTGTCAGTGTCACCCGCTCCATGCCCCTTTTCTTTCCTCCTTCTCCCCCTTCACAGCACAGTACCTAAGCCATAAGGTATTGAGTCCAATGCCCTCAGGTGACAGGTAAAGAAGCAAACTCAGGGAAGGAAGGGACTTCCAAGTGGTCACAGGGAAAATCCTAACAGATCCAGAGTAAGAGACCAGGCTCCTGAATCCCCGCACCGTGCTGTCCCCGCTGTGCCCAGAGCCCTCTCTTGGCTGCCTCCCCCCAGTTCCAGTTTAGGTAATCCACTGGCACTGACTAGTGACCACCCAGGCACACCCTTACTCAGAATGGGCTCGTTGCACAGATCTCACCCCGGGAAATCCCTTTTTGTGGGTATTGGGAAAGGGCTGGAGGAAGGCAGTGAATCTGGCTGGGGGACCCCAGCGCCACTAGCCACACCCTGGCCTCTGGGGCACTGCCCCTTGTTAGATCTCAGGATGCCAAGAGAGGGGTTCTGCCCAGAGGAGGGTGGGCAAGCTGCTCCTGCTGGGGGGTTGCGCTGAATCCCAGTGGGGACAGGGTGGGGCTGGAACCTGAGTAGCTGGAAGGAGGGAGGTAAGGGTGGCTGAATCTTCCTCAGAGGAGGAGGAAGCCCAGTGTGAGAAAAGATAATTTCCATTTCTGCCTTCAGCGGGGAGCAACGAATGTGTGCCTCACACAACAAAACTGCAGTCCTTCCCTAGAGGCTAGTTGGAGAAACTAGGAAGTGTAAACTCTCCTTCCTCCTCTTCCTCTCCACTTCCCTGCCCCACCCCACTCCCACCCCCAACATGCCCAGCAATGTCCTGACGTTCAGCCCACTCCCCATGCCACAGAAATGCGCAGGCCTTCAGGCCATCCCCTGTGTCTCAGCCCTTTCCTTGGCTCAAGAGTTTCTCTCTTAATTTTTGCTCAACTTCCCAATTGTTGCTCATCTGGCTGCCAGGAAAACCTGCAAAGACCCAGGCAGGTGCAGCTTGGGGCAGGGGGTGGGTGATTGTGGTCACCCTATCTAACCCTCAGCAGCATCCTCAGCTCTGGAGGGCACCTGGGCCTGCTCCCCTCAACACACATACACTGCCACCCCAACTCTTCTTAACAAGGGTTGTTGACGCGTGGTAGATACATTTGCATAACACCTGTAGGTAATTTGTTTGTTCCTCAGTTCTGGGCAAAACAAACCCAAACCCTCTTCCCTTCTCTTCTCCCTCCTTCTATCCCTGCCTGTTTCCAGACCAGGCCTCGTGAGGGATTAGACCAGCCTGTCTGAGAACAGAGCTGGCAAGGCAGGGTCCATCCCACAGAGCTGCTTTAGGAAAGGCACTCTGTCTCCTCAGAGTCTCCTGGCCTCAGTTTACCCATCGGTCAAGTGATGTCTACCATACTTTCCTGCTGCAATAGCCAGTAAGTCCATTCCAAGGTGGGAGAGACAGACTGAGATAGAGACCAAGCAGATAGGTCTTTCCACCTAGAAACCTTCTCAGTCCTGGCTCCCCCACTGGGGCAATGCAGGAGGGTGTAGATGGAAAGCCTACAGCAGGTGGAGCCAAGGTCTCCAGAATTTATGCTGAGCCAACAACTCTGGCTTTTTCAGCATGTCCAGAACCCCCCTGACTAGATGAGCCACCCCACCAGGGTCCGCTTGCACTCTGCAGCCATGCGACCCTCCACCCTTCACCCCACCGCTGATAGGTGAGCCTTGGTTTCCTCATCTGTGAAATCGGCTTAGGGACACCACCTCATAGGGTGGTTATGAGAACTTAAAGAGCTGACTTATGGAGTGTGTCCAGCACTAGTATTTGATCAAAAAGGCAAATACTGGAGCAGGCAGCACCAAACCAGTGGAGTGCTGATGGGGTAGAAAGAGAAGGAGAGTGCAAATTTATGAAATCTGCTCCATACAGCCAGTGATGCTGCTGTCAGTGCCAAATTCAAAGGTACCAGGTTTAGGCACTTTTAAAGGTACCCAGTAACAAGCTTCTATTTTGCATGTGACTCTGGGGCAAGATAATGCCACAGTAAGTATAAAGACCCCCAGGGCCTGGTCCTCACTCCCACTCCCCCTTTACCTCTCAGTCCTGCTTTTTTCTTCCAGAGCCCCTGTCCTGGCTTTCTCTGCTGGCCCCTCCAACTGCAGTCTCTCCACTGTGGGCAGGAGGGTGTGGGAGCAGGGAGGGCTCAGCAGCCCTGCACTTTCCCCTTCCTGCAGCTCTCCAAATTGAGTTAGATGCCCCAGGTCAATAAGGGCCACCCGAAAGAGCCCGAAGTCATCCCTGCACACCTCTTGAGACACCAGCAAGGAAGGTGGAGGGTGGAGGTGTCAAAGCCTGGCTCAGCCCCCAGGGGGCCCTGGAGGAGTGGATGAGGTTTTAGGATTTTTCTCTGTCTGTTTCCAGCAGGCAGTAGGATATTTGGGTCCCTGTCTGGTTTTTTCAGCATTGTTCTGGGCATTGTGTGTGCGAGGAGGGAGAGAGTTGGGCAAGGGCAGACAGACAGGGAGGAAAAGATTTCTGGATGGCAGGGAAGCCCCTGGCCCTTCCCCCAAGGGGTGCACCCTCACCATGCCATGTCTGCCTGTGCAATGACTTCTTTGAAGTTCTCTCCTCTCCCTTTCCACCACCCTCCTCCTCCTCAGATTTGCAGCCTGGGTCTCTCTGCCACCTTCTCCCTTCCTCCTTAGGCTCCCTTCTCCCAGGTCAGGGTCATGTGGGGGTGATGCACCCAGTTAAAGCCAGAAGGCCCCAGCCCTGAATCCACCTTTTGTCAATGGGTGAACCCCAACAACTCATCACATCTCCCTGAGCCTCAGTGCTCTTATCCATAAAAGAGGAATAACAACAGTACCTATTTTATTTATTTGAAAGTGCTTTTTCAGTTGTAAATCACTAAGCAAATATCACTGGTAATGGGAAGTCTCTGAGGATTTTTGAGCAGAGGCATGAGGGATCTGAAAGATGCTTTAGAAAGATCAGGTGACACTGTGCAGAGTGGACAGGAGGAGGAGAGGGTGAAACAGGGAGGCCTGTCAGAGGCGACGGCAGCCTTGGTCAAAGACGATAGAGAGCTAGACATAAGAGGAAGCGGTGGGAAGAGAGAAGACGGACAGGAGAGATGTGCCCAGGACTCCCGGGCTCACTGGCCAGCCCAGCGCAGCAGCCGGCAGAGAATGAGGACGAAAGATGCCTCTGGATTTCAGGCTGAGTTCCTGGGGAAATGCTGATGACTTAGGGGAGATGGGGTGCAAGAAGGATACGAAGTCCACCCCTGGACAGGTGAGGTGGGATGTGCCCATGGGAGGGGTCCAGCAGGCTTCTGGAAGTGGCTAGGGGGCAATCGTAGCTGGAGCTGGGTCACCTCCATCAGATGGTAGTCGAGGCCCTGGGAGAGATGAGATCACTCGGGGAGAGGATGCAGAAGAGAAGCTGGAAAAAAGCTGGGCTGGAAGGAGAGCAGCCAGAGGGGAAGAGCAGGCTGCCAGGTGTGCAGGAGGAAGGGTGCTGGCCGGCTCAGGGCTGGAGGGCCATCATGAAAGGTCCGAGGGGGAAGTGGTTGGATTTGGTAACAAGAAGGGAGTGGAGACCTCAAAGAACCCCCAGGAGAGGGTGGGAGTAGGAGCGTCTCTCAAGGGTCAGCGCTGGGGCAGGTAGGGAAAGGTGGAGGTGTGGGTGCACACGAGTCAGGAGCTTGGGAGGGAAGAGAACAAAAGACGGGTGGTGAGCTACAGGAGAGGGGTCAAAAAGAGGTTGGATTCAGATGGGGAGATGTGAGCATGCTCACAGCCTGAGGGAGGCAAGCCATGGCACCCAAGAGATGAATCAGACCTCAGACTGAGGAGAGGCTGAGGACAGACCCCACCTGTCGAGGACCTAAGCAGTTAATGCTGCCGGCTGGCCACGGGGGTCTGGACACTCACCACCAGCCCTGGCCCCACGCACTCCCACTGAGTCCTGAGAGGAGGCTCCAGAACTTCTGCCCCAACCCCGTCTCCCCCCAGGCCCCTCCACTCCCCCATCCCACACACAGCCTGCAGTTTGCCAGCGACGTTGCATATCAGTGAAACAATCAGCCTTCTCAGCCTTCTCCCGCACCAGCTCCTGTTCATCTGGCAGCCCCCAGCCCAGCCCCCGGCCTCCTGCCCTGACCCCAGCCCCCCAGGCACCAGCCATGGATTTCTTGGCTTCTCTGGCCCCTTCTGCAGCCAAACAGGTGCCTCTGGGCAATCCATCTGCCATCCCCCAAATGTGGCTCCACCACGTGGTGGACTCATAAGATCTCAGACAGCCCTGGGCAGCCCACCCTATCCCAGCCAGCACATGCTCCCCCACCCTCCTGGACACCTCAAACACCACCTCTGCGGGTGAGCGAGCAAGTGATTCTCTGTTTCCCCCTCCCCTCGCCGGACAGAAGGGGAAATCGAGACAGGGGAGATTAGGTGACTTCTGTCAG